CACACACACACACACACACACACACACACACACACACACACACACACACACACACACACACATGCGTGCACACCCACACAGACACAGCCATAGACATGCATACGCGCACGCATGCATACACTTACTTGGCAACCTTGTTGATGACTGGAGCGAAGTTAGTGGGTCCGAACAAGGAGACTGCACGTAGCGTGTTCTCGTACGCCTGCAGTAAGCCCTCCAGTCCATCACAGCACGGATCGTCATCTCTAAAGTTCTACTCGCACGCAGACGACGACGACGACGACGTTGACGACGACAACGATGACGATGACGATGACGACGACAGCGATTACGACGACGACGACGACGGTGGAGGTAGATGCAGTAAAACAGAAGTAAGATATCGTATAAACTCTCGCTCAGAGAAACGATGACGATACATGTGATAAGATGTAAACGACGATAACGATGACAATACCGATGACGATACCGATGACGATGACGATGACGATACCAATGACGATGACGATGACGATGACGATACCGATGTCGATAACGATGACGATACCAATGACGATACCAATGACGAGGACGATGACGATAACGATGACGATACCGATGACGATACCAATGACGATGACGATGACGATAACGATGACGATACCGATGACGATACCAATGACGATGACGATGACGATAACGATGACGATATCGATGACGATGACGATGGCGATGTCGATGACGATGATAAATACGATTAGGCGCGGTAACACAGCAGTAAAAATCGTAAACCCACTAAGAAAACGAACGATAGGTGTTAATGCGTGTTTTATGTTGTCGAGAAACACATTCAGTTCGCCGAGAAGCGATGAGCATTATTTGTTTATTCAGCGGCTATTTCTTCTCATTTACATTTTTTACGAACGACACACGACGACGAGCTCCCCATTATATACAACGATGTTAGTTATTTTTAGATTTATCTTACTTCATCTCTCGCTCTCTCTCTCTCGCTCTTCTCTCTCTCACGATTTCACCACCGCTCCAATTTTCTTCTATGCATTGCATGTGTGTTTGTGTGTGTGTATGTGTGTGTGTTCCCTCCGTCCCTCCCTTGTACCCCGCGGATGTATATATAAATAAATAAATAAATAAATAATCGCTCTCTCTTTCTCCCTCTCTCTCTCTCTCTCTTTCTCTCTCTCTCTCTCTCTCTCTCTCTCTCTCTCTCTCTCTCTCTCTCTCTCTCTCTCTCTCTCTCTCT